ATGGGGATGGTAAAAGTAGATGAAAATGTAGAAAAGTAGTGAATTTTTAGTATTTGTCAACTATATCAGTACAATTGGATTCTCGTCACAACGATTGTAATCTAAGCAGTATGATAATATACAAGAGTTATGCATATTTCAGCAAGAGCAACTGGAAAAGTTCTAAACCCAGATTGATTTCGAGATACTTTGAAACATTTTCAATGGTTTGATAATAGAGTTCATCCACTGTTGAAAGAGATACTGAGCAGGTAAGCTGTTGAAGTCAATTTGACGTAGCAGTAATGGAGTCTGATTTTTCCGCCAAATGCTCGTCTTTAAAAAAAGACAACGTAATGAGGAAAGTGTTAATCTCGGTCACAGCTGTCAACTAATGTGCATTCCTCCCAATGTGACGAAATTCGAGGTTTTCACGTAACTTAATATTCCTAAGCCTCAAAAAGGGAACCTGAAAAAGTTAGTAATCGTATGATTTTGTAGTTTTCGAGAAAGTCTGTAATCCTCTATTTAGGATGAAGCGCAACTGTTACTTCTTTCTGTAAATAACACAGTTTGAAATGTTAGAAGAATTTGTTTGAGCAGAGCTCATCGAAACGAAGTTTTCGTTCACTACTGTTCCAGTAAATCAAAACACGGTATTCTAGATCGAGTCAATATGAAACTCATCAGCTGCTATGCTTCTGAATATATACATGAATGTTTGCAAAATTTTATTCAATAGAATCAATAAACACTTCAAGCAAGTCGATGTTGAACGGTTTACGTCTCTATTTGTGGGTGATGTGTTGAGAAGTACATTAAACAGATGATATTCAAATGTTGTTTTGCCCAAAAATTGAATTACGAAAGAGATCGATCCCGACGACTCGCACTGTTGCACGGTTGCTGGACAGGATCTATACGGCCAAGCTACCCAATTTCTAAAACATCGTGTGGTGATTTTTGTGTATGTAATACGCCCGCTATTTAAAACTATACATTGTCCGGCAAACCAGACCAACGATGGCAGTAATGAGCATATCCGTTCTTCGTTTAATATCCGGGGGCGGTACGGGGTGGAGGGCAGTGATCGCATGAACCACCAGCTCCGGCTGCTCCTGGTGCTCCAGGTGCACCGGGTTGTCCAGGAGGTCCGGGGGGTCCGTCTGGTCCTGGGTCTCCTGGTGGTCCTGGGGGTCCAGGCTGAGCAGCGCC